TAGAGTAGAATTCACTAGAACATGTTCCAAAATGATGTGACTGATTATTCCAAGTTTAAATCAAGAGTAAAACTGCTGTACTGTTTATGTGCCCTTAGCCCAGCCACCTGCCCAGCTGGTAGTTTGAAGTGCCTCCTATAAATTTGGCACCCAGTTTCAGTTTCCTGAAGTCCTTCAGGTGCCTGCAAAAGGAAATCTACATGTGAAGCAGAGGGTGAATGCACTGTTTGGTCTGTGGCCCAGAAAGGGCAGCAGCAATTTCAGCCCTCCTTTAAGAAGCATCCCTTCATTGACTTCTCAGTGCAAATGGTGCTGTGCAGTTTGTCCCTGGCACGGGGCTTGTCCTCTGCCCTGCCCTGGCCAGGGCAGGAAAGGCCTCAGTGCTTCTCTTTAAGGTAGGCTGGCACGGGGGACAGTCACAGGGGAGTTGGTGACTTGTGCATTCATCAGCTGCTCACATGGGAGGTGGTGCCAGGGTTTTCCATGGATTTGCTTCATAGAGGTTGTGTCCAGTGGAGGAGCTGAGGGATAAGGAGATCAGTGGAAGTGTTTGCATAGGTTGACTAATGTGTTTTCAAACATAGCACAAATTCAAAGTCAAACCTTGTGTACCAGATGTACAGTTAGTAAAAAGGAAGGAATTCTTTTAACTTTTATTTCTGGTTGATATTTAAACATGGTTACATTTCTTGACACTTAGCAGCCCTAGGCGCAGATTAGTAACAGCACCAATGCTAGCTAAATTAAGACATCCAATAACTTTCCTATCTTTTGCTAAAGGGGTGAAATTTTTAAGCTTGCTCACTGTGACACCAGTGTAGCCTTTAGGCCATAACTTGGTTTTATTTCCTCTTCTGCTTCCTTTGTCCCTTTGCAAGAAGCCCATGTTACCTGTGTGCCCTGAGTGAGGCTGCTGTTGCAGGGAGAGAGCTGTGAGCAGACTGCTGTGAGGCCACAGCAGCTCCTGGATGCTAGCTGAGGCAGGGAGCTGCTTGGCTACCCCACTGAAATATCCCACTAAGAAGGTTTCTCTGCCCAGAAAGCTTACTGTCCACAGGGACAGGACTGGCAAGTAGCTAATAATGTGAAGCACTGTGTTTATTGCTCCATGCACAGGTTCAGAGAGTATAATTTGTATTGTCTGCCTTCAGTCATCTGACTGATGCCCCAAGTGACCCCTGTGAAGAGAGCTCCTGCTACCACTCTCCTGTGACTGAGTCCTTTCGGCTCATGGGGGACAGAGTAAGCTTCCTAAATTAGAAGTCAGAGTATTATTCCAGCAGAATTTAGTCCATCGGTCTCTGGAAGGATGGCAGTAGTTGTGTGGCTCCACGTGGCTTGCACACACACTGCTCTCTCACTATATGTGTGTATGTATGCACATGTATGTCACTAAATATTTGCTGGCACCAGCAGCTCAGCATGCACAGTGCTCATCACCAACCAGTGCTTTAATTACAAAACCAGACAATTGGGTTTGATCATAATTATTTAATTTATGAGCAGGAAAGGATGGCTACAGCACCTAATACCTCTTTCTCTGTATTGCAGACTTGGTCAATCTGTATAAAACAGAGTAACTTTTGTATGACTGCAGGATGTCTTGAGTTTTCAAAAAATTTCACCTTTTGGAAAAGTTCCACTAAAGCTTGGCATCAACAAATGGAGAATCTCTGCATTCTCCTTTGGATAGTTGCACTAATGGTTAATCACAGGTGATGGAAAGTATGTGCTTTATTTCTCATTTGAATTTTTTGTCAGCTTCCAGATGCTGATTTGTTTTCTGCAAACTCTTTGCTAGATTAACAAGCCAGTTGGTACTTAGTATGTTCTCCCAATGAAAATACTTAGATGCTGTAATTAGGTCATCTGATTTTTTGTTGGTTTTTTTTTTTTTTTAATATAAACTATACCAGTGGAACTCTCCAAATATTTCATATTAAAGTACTTTCTACACTGCTCTAATCACTTTTGCAGCTGTATTCTGTGATCTCTGGTGGTGGATTATTTTTCAATTTCTTTATAAATTGTGAAGACCTTATCCTCCTGTAAGTAATTATAGGTTGTAATGCTAATATTACAAATGAATGTTTAAAGGAACATTTTTGTCTTTGCCTACTGTTTATTTCAAATCTCATATTAGTATTTACTTCTGTATGAAATTGAATTTGAAGAAACTCTCATTGTTGAGTAAAATGTTGTGGGTAGGGCCATATGATACCATATGATTATTGCAATCATCAATACCTGTATGTTCTCACCCAATCATAAGGGAAATATAAGTAACTTTTAAGCTTCACTGATGCTTACAGGTAATGAAATTATATTAATCGTATCTTTTTGCCTCTAATATATCTCTTTCACTTTATTTTTCACTTTTTTAGTAGAGAGCTGGTATTTGCCAAAGACTTGTCTTGCAAGGTAACCAAAGCTGGCCTTACAAAGGATGTGATTAGCTCTTCCAGCCTGTGTTACCAGTGCTGCCTGCACTGCTGCCTCCTGCCTCTCCAGCATTGTGGCAAGATGAATAGCCTTTGAGTGATTCTGTCACTGATAGAAGCCACCCGTGGTCCAGTTCATAAGATTTGTAAGCAGAACAAATGGAAACATGACCCAACCAGTTTATGAGTGTAATTATGACAGAAAGCATTAATAGAATTTCTTCAATAACCCTGATTCATCCATGGTGTTACAGTAGGACTGTCTGGTATTCTACAGGTCCTTTAAACTTCATGAATCTTGCAGAAGCCTTCATTCCAGATGAGCCAGTTATTTCCCTGGTATTTGACGTGAGAGCAGCCTCAGTATTACTGTTGCATAGCATAATGTAGCAGTATTGAATAGAGATAATTTTAGTATAATAATGCCCTTAACAATTTTCCCATAAGACATGGGAAATCCTCTAATTGTTGCTTGGATTTTTAGGTTTTATATTTACACACAGTTATGCTTCTTGAGTATATTGTATTTTGCATAAATGTAACATGCTTCACAGGAAAAATGAGATGGGAGACAGGAAAAATGAGATGGGAGACAAGTTGTTGATGCTGCAACCCTGGCAGTGCTCAAGGCCAGGTTGGGTGGGGCTTTGAACGACCTGGTCTAGTGGGAGGTGTCCCTGCCCATGGCAGGAGGGTTGGAACAAGATAATCCTTAAGTCTCTTCAAGCCCTAACCAGTTGATTCTATAATTTAAAAAAAAAAAAAAAAAAGAGATGTGAGAACAGTCAATTCAGAATGCCATCTGAGAATTAGGTGGTTAGGTTAGATATGCACCCATATAGATGGAGATTTATATGCATTCAGTAGACTAACTCGGAAAAACTGTGGATGTCCAGCTGATGTATTGCTAACAGTTTGGGATGCTTCAGTAGGCAAGTGTTGTCCCTTGTGTGGTCATTCACCTCTCATTAGGATAGATGTAACTCTTTCTGAAGTGAGTAGTTGTATTTGGTTAGATGGTGTATTTATGTCACAGTGGAGTAAATGAGAACATGTTGTAGTGCTGCTGACTGAGAATTAGAACTGCATTTATGAAAGCTTTTCCTGATTATGTGTTTGAATATGTTATCTATTAAATTGATTTTATCATAAAATGATACTTAATGTATAGTTGTTGTGGTTTGACTTTAGCTGGTAACTAAGTACCACACAGCCACTCACTCCACTCCCCTACTCACTCCAGTGGGATGGGGAGGATAAAAGTAAAACCCATGTGTAGAGATAAGTTTAATAATGGAAATAAGTAATTAACAAGTAAAATATAATATTAATTATAATATTATTAAAGATAATAGTGATTAAAAGGGAGATAACAAACCAAGACAGAGAAATAAAGCCCAAAAAGGACAAGTGGTGCACAGTACAATTGCTCACCACCTGCTGACGGCTGCTCAGCCCAGCCCTTGCAGCCAGCTCCCCCCAGTTCATATACTGGCTGTGACATCGTATGGCATGGATTGGCCAGACCATGACAGCTATCCCAGCCATGCTCCCACCAGCTTCTTGGGTACCTGCTCACTGGCAGAGCATGGGAAACTGAAAATGCCTGACTCAGTGTGAGCACGGCTCGCCTACAGCTAAAGCATCACTGTGTTACTAACATTACTGTCATACTGAATCCAAAATACAGCACTGTACCAGTTGCTAGGAAGAAAATGAGCTCTATCCCAGACAAAACCAGGACAATAGTTTTAAAAGCTGTCAGACTTTTTTTGGGAGAGGGTAATGAAGTTTAAAAGTCTCCGGTGACTTTTCATTTCACTTTACAGCATTTAATTATTAAATTATGTAGACAAAAATTGAGCATAAGACTTAAGGCTTGAAACAGAAGAATAAGAAACTAGTCAATATACATGGTGCTCAAATGGCAAAGGCAATGAGAAATCAGTCTTTACTCATCATGCTTGTTGGCAGGATTGGAAAAATCTCCAGATAGATTTATTATTGCAGATGAATGCCTGGCTGTCTTTCATGTTTGATTTCCATAAATGCTTGCCTTCAGCCTTGCCCCAAAAACATTCAAGAAGGTGACTTACTTTGCCTACTTATTTCTTGCACAGAGGTGATGCTCAGTCAGTTTCCCACTGGAGGCTCTCTGAGGGAGCACTTTTGTGTGTCCCGCCGTTCTGAGGCAGCGCACTGCCATTCCAGTCCTGTGCTCAGCAGTGGCTCTGGGTGGATTCCTTGCTCTTGTTATACTTGACCAGAGAGGCTGAAAATTGTTGAGTCAAGCTCATGGTATATTAGGATCCTTCCAAGCTCCTGAAAAAGTGCATGACTTTCCAAAGTGCTCAAATACTGTGTGTCACAGGGGATTGCCCTCACCTTTCTAATTCTTTTGGTGATGGGTGTTGGGTTTTTCCCCTTACAGTTTAGGTAAACCTCTTAATCTTGGAGCTCAGACCTTGGTGAATGCCAAAACCAAAGGGGAGTCAAGTGCTTTTGTTTTGCTGAGGTGATGCACACTGGTTTGATGGGTACCTCTGTCTCTCATTGCAGCCCCCTCATCTGTCAGATGCAGTGATCTCCATGGTAACTCAAACCCCCAGACTCTTGACAGCAGCCTGTGAGGAGCAGCATTCAGCAGCTCAAGGGTCTCACGACCAGGTAAGCCAAAAGGAATCACCAAATAAGAGCTCACCTCTGGTGTGCCACTTCATGTCCTGTCAGGTTTTTCCTTGGTGAAGTCACCCAGGCAGTCAGGCCCTGTGCACATAGGTGATGATGACTCCTACCAGTGTTGTCACTTAAGGCTGTGGCAGTCCAGCTCTCTTGAGCAGAGGCATTTGACAAAAAGTCTGCATTTGTTCAGGGTTGTTTTTTAAGATTCAGATTGAAGAAGCAAAACAAAGGAGTACTGTACAATTCTTCTAAGTGGCTTTGGTCTTAAGTAATTGCTGTAGTAGGAAATAACCCCAAAATGCTTGAACAGTAAGGTCTGTCATGCCACTGTACCTACTCTACCATCAGTACTGCCCAAGCTGTAACTTCAGGCCTGAGTAATCTTATTTTCCTACATTGGATCAGAGACAGCTTCTTGTTCATGTAACATTAATTGGTTCTCTGGAGCATTTTCCAATTGCTCCTGTACTCTTTCCACATGAGTTTCTGTGCTAATAGCAGCATGCGGGGCCTTCTGGTTAACATCTTAAGAAGGTACAGAATTCTTCCTCTTTTTTTTGTGAATAATGGAGAAAGAACAAGATGTTTGCCATTTTGGGAAAACAGTGCAGTCACTATATAGCTATATTCACTTCTCCAGTACTGCTAGTGCTGTGGGCTAGGGTAGTATCACTGGTCTTAAGCACTTACATGTGTGGGAAGTTGATTACTCCCTTTTGTTGTCAGGCTTCACTGTCATTTGTATTGAGTTGTTTCTGTGCCATTAAGATTGTATGTATTTTGTAAGTCTGTGGCTTCTGTGTACTATTTTCTGGGTGTTACCTGCATTGTTTCTTGCTTGCTACATAAGCCCTCTTGGCTGTAATACACTGTCCCCGTCATACAGAGAAATCCATATTATTCTGGATAACAATTCTGCTACCTTTACTGACCAGTTTGACAATTTTTGTGCCATTACTGCCATCAACAGTATTTACTTCTGTATCATTGATGATACCCTTAAATAGTGTTGAGTAAGTACTGGCTGATTTTGTTGGAGGAATGTAGAGCACTTTTGCAATTGTTATTTCCTGGTAACAACTACTTTTTCATATGTATATCTTAATCACTTTTGATGATACTGACAATAATTTCTTACTCTGAGTTTTGTGTGGCTCTAAGGTAAATGCCATTCAAAAGTCTGTGTGTTTCATTTATGGAATAACATCTGCTGACCAGAGTTTGTAATTTTATCAGATGATTGAATAAAATTCTCTGTTTAGCAAATTTCTGTATAATGGCATTGACTAGCATCAGTTTTGTTCATGTAATTTCCCAGTGAATTTGTCCTTTGTAAGTTCAGTGTTTATTTTGCCTGAGACTTGTAATGGCACAGAGCTGTGTAATTACTCTGATCATACTGCTTACCATCCTCAACCATTAGCAGAAAATGCTAGCAGTCTTACTGAACTTCTCTGGTGCTCCAAAATTTATTGAAAATGAGCATCATTGAAGTGATCCTCTCACAAACATTTTGAAGACTCTTAAGGCACAAACTATTGCAGTGTACTAATTTAAAGTTGTCTTTTAACATTCTTTTTGGTTACTAAAAGCCTCCTTATCCCTAAAAACGCTTTTCTTCTTCTTAGAAGAAAGTGTATGTTGCTTGTTTGGGTTTTTTTGTATAGCAAGTTTGTATTCCCTTAAAACGTGAATCCCAAGTTGGAGATCTTGTGCTGTTTCAATTTAGCCAGATTTTCCTATTAGAATTAATTTCATTGGGTTTTCAAGTGTAATCTGTATTTCATGCTAATTACACCCTTAACCCAGAATGGGAGTATGATTTTTTTTTTTGCCACAGGTTGCCTTTTTTGGGCTGTTTAATCATTACCTTTGGTCCCTGGTGGCAGTGGGGTAGGTGAGAACTCTGCACATTTTTACCCTTGTACTTTCTCCCAAGTGCAAATTTTTTCCCTAGTTTACTAGGCTAATGAACTTCCATGCTTGCTATTAACTAAACTGTTTCAAATACCAGAATTGTAATTACACTCTGGGCCTGGGCATTCAATATGTATTCTAGCAATTACATTTGGGAGTGCCTGATGAGTTACTATTGAGTTCATGGCATTTCCAGCTTACTTCTCTCAGATGAATGAGATTCACAGTTCTTTTTGTGTTTCACAAACACGTACTTAAGCAGATCATCCAGTTCTGTGATACAGTTTCGTGGTTTGCTTTACCTCAAATTACAAGAGTATATCCTTCTGGGCTCTGCTAGCATGTTGTCTATATGAGTTCAAGGCCTTGATGTCCTGAATTATCAGTAATTTTGGGGAATAATGGTGCTAATAATGTAGAATACCATCTTCTATACTTTTGTCTGGCTCTTAGTGGAGATGTCCCCAGCAGTCAGAATGATAGCTATTGGTAACTTGTTGGTATGATGGGTGTGACAGTGGTAAGAATGCACAGGGAATGACAGTATTTTGACTAGAAAACCTTGTAAATAGCAAAATAAAGCAAAGAGATGAGGCAAAATTAGATGTCAAAAAATGAAATGTTGGGGAAGTTCAGTTGAAAAAGTAGGAAAAGAAGGTGTATGCACATGATACCTAGGAAGAAACAGGTCATTCTTTTTTGCTAGTTTTATGTTTCTTGTATGAATTAGCTACTTTGCATTTAAGAATAAAAAGGATGGGATGTAGTGGAAGGTACTTCAAATGTATCAGCATATCAACAGATTTCTGTTGTTCAAAGATCTTGGAATAAGTGCAGTTTGGGAATGTCACAAATGAAATGGGGTAGTGCAAGTTGTGACTGTTGGTAGAGGTGCAGAGCACAAATTAATATAAGAAAATACTCTTTTTTTTTTTTTTTTAAAGTTTCCAGAACAGTATTTTTTCAGAAGCATTCATTTGGTGTGATTGAGAAGAACATTCCATTATCCATAAGTTAGCACCAACATACTCTATTTTGAGGAAATACATATCTTCTTTTTACATAAAAACAAACTTTCAAAGCAAAATTTTTATACAAATTTCTTTGTATAAAACTGCATTATATACAAAGAAATTAAGAGAAACTATAAACAAAAAGTTTGCTTGCAAATGCATGATTTGGAAAAGAACCATAATACCCCCATGCATACTGTTCTGTAACAGCTTCTATAATTCTTTTCACAGTTACTAATTTTTAATGATTTTTTTTCAATTTATTTAGAGCTTCATGAGTGATATTGCACAGGCATAGGGTGCAGAGACTTTCTGTACGTTAACTAAAGTTACTGTTGGCACCTGATCCCACCAAATAATTTTATTGGTCAGTTAGATTTATGGGCTAGAAAATCAAACTGCTTTTAAACAATATCCTTCATAATTCTGAGGTTTAATTAATAAACTCTGTATTGATTTTGTTTTCTAGCAATATTTTTCAAGTGCTGCCATCAAATAATATTGCACCTGAGGGTGTACACATGAACTATTCATAGAGTGGTTATTCTTAAAAGTCTAATGGCATCATAACTGTTCACTGAAAATAGTTAACTGCTGTAATAATATTTTTTAAATAAGCATATGATCATGAACATTCTTTAAATTTGCAGCTGTTTCATGGCTGAAGGAGAGTTTTATTTGTATATTCCCTGGTATTTCTCTTGCTACTTGGTGAATCATGGTTAACTGAACTCTGATTTTATTAATGAAATAATTATTAGTACTTTATGGGCTGTCAACTAAGTCAGAAGAAAGTAAATGTAGCTACAACATGGATCCATGTATTTTACATTATGGTAGAGAGATGAAACTACTATTCCAGTCATGGCTAACCTCTGAAATACTTGCTTTGAGCCTTTCTCTTACACAATACAGTTTTAAACTACTGCTAGTGGAATACAATTATTGTGCTGCCTTTTTTTTTTTTTTTTTTTTTTTTTTTTTTTTTTTTTTAATCTTTTGTCTTTAAAACAGCTATGGTTTCAAGGGAGGTTTTCAGTGGTAGTAAAGAGGATGCTAGCATTGCAAAATGAGGTGACAAAATGCCTTATCCTTTGATGTTTAAACTAAGCTGGTGATTATTTAAGGCATAGCTCAGACTCTGTAGGACTGAGCTGTGATAATCCCATACTCTGCTGTTTGATTTGTAGAGCACATTATGCTACCACATTCACTGTGCCAGCCAGTTGGAAGTGCTAATAAGAGATGTGCAAAGTGGGAAAAGGCAATTTTTGTTGTAGTCATTAATAAGTATATATTTAGTTCAGCTGGAGTGCCAGGTGCAGTGAAAGGTTCATACCTATGAGCAAACACCGTGCCAGAGGAGGGGGAAGTGGAGCTGTGCCTTGCCCAAAACTGCTCCTCTGAGTTTGCCCAGCAAAGACTTCACACAGCTCAGCAATGCATTTTCATCCACCCAAAGTCTGCTTAACTTGTCTGGGCAGAGCTGCAGAGATACGCCTGGGTCAGTGAATTCAGCTCGGGCTGCAGCGCTCTGGGGAAGCTCAGGTGTTGGTGTCTTTGGACAGGCTCTGGGCACACTCTGAGTGTGTAACACGTTCCAGACTCATGGTGCCTTCTGCAACCTGCCTGTAATGAGGGACTGTGTGAGTGCTGCTTCCCAAACACAGCTAGGACAGTTTTCCTCTGAAGACAAACAGGATTTTCTGCTTTTTAAGGGTTGATTCAAACAAAGCTTTTATTTTAAACTGAATTATTTTATCTCATCATGGTGTAGAAGTGGAATTACTACAGGCAGTCTAGTCAAACATGCTCGTGAATAATTTGAATGTCTCATGCAGCCATCCCACATGGAAACAGGACGGGTAATATAATTGTTTTTTCAATAAGTTAATTAAGCCTTCGAGATGTACAGGATCTGTATTTCCATTTACATTTTTGTATGACCTTGTTCCTATCTGAACTGCTTTGATTTAAATGTAATTGATGGATAAGCATGCTGTTACATGCATAGTACATGCTAAAAATTTGTGCCCAATATACAGATTAACATCAGTTAATTTCAGAAGAAATTCCATCTTCAAGCAGCTTGTGAACATTTTCACCTGGTATTTCCCTGTCTAGTCGTCACACTAAATGCTGTAAATGAAGAGAAATAAAACTGTTATTTTTGCTCATAAGTTTACTTAATGTAGTGGTGAAAGTTAAGTGTAGTTCTTCAGTGTAAACTGGAGATATTTCAGGTATAATTAATAGAAATGGATTTGCGAGCATGGTCGTCACTGATACTGTGTTTTTACTTACTCACTGAGGTCACAGGTTCACACTTGGCTTTGTAATCCAGCACCTTGGTCCAAGCTTGATTTTTTTCAGAAATGTGAATACAGTGATTAGGAAAGTAGCTGCAATGGCATATTTGGAGAGTGAGTGATCACCACAGAAAAAGCTGAGGTGATGTAAGGTGTCACAGAGCCCACACCTGAGCTGCAAAAGCAAAGCACTCAAGTCCCCTGACTGTTTTAGTACAAAGTCCATTCCCAGCCAGCTCTTAGTGAAATATCTCAAAATGACCAGGAAGTTCTAACTTTAAAGCATGCAATGAGAGATCAGTCAGTAGCTCTGGTTCAGCTGTCAGGGACAGAGAACTGCAGGTAAGGAGCAGAGGCAAACCAGGCAGCTGCAGCACGCCTGGTTTTACACCAGTACCACCATTTGTGCAGTAGGTCTCAAAATAGTCTTTTATTGACTTGCCCATAGCCTTTGAATAATCTCTGCTGTGTTCAGACCTTCACATGTGAGATGGCTAGCCAGGGTTGTATAGTGCTGTATCTTCTAATAAATGGTTCTGGAGATTGGGTTAATATGGAGATTGGGCACCTACTCAGACAATATTGAGGGAGCAGGGAAGGCACTCTGCCGAACATCTCTGTTGTAACAGAACAAAGTGGGTTTGTGATTTTTGTTATGTCTGAAATGGTTAACATTTTTTATTGGTTGCTCTGTGAGCTACAATGTGATTTAGCAAGCATCCCAAATGTCTCTAACATGAATTGTGTTTATCGTCAACCTAAATCAGTTTAAATAAGATTAGTTCAACTGATGCATGCACAAATTAATTTTCCTTTTATCTAACCAGCTTGCAGTCCTAATAAACAGAATAATCAATCATAGCTGCCTTCATCTATAGTGCGATTGTATATCTCTGATCAAGGAAATGTAGAATAATTTCTCTCTAGTCCCTACTTAGTTCCCTCTGTAATCAAGGTTTCTGGTTATTATGATTCGCCTTAATAATTTTTACATTCCTTGATAGAAAAAATTTTTTTTGTTGTTTGTATGTTTAAAGGAAGATTACATTCAACATTGTAAAACTAATTTTAAGAATATATCTACTTTCTAAAGTACGTATAAAAGCATATCTGCTTTGTAATTACTAAATATCTCATACTTTTAAAAGTATAAGATATTTTTGTTTCTCTGCTACACAAAAGAATGCCAGTCTGACTCACTCTTTGTAAACACAATGGCAATGATACCATGCTTTGAACAGTTTGTACTGTGTACTCATCCTTTTTAGTAATAGCTGGTTTGAGGCCACTGGCATCTTTCTTACTGATTGAAGTGAGTCCAGGACTCTGGCTAGACATTTTCTTTCTTCATTGAATTATAAAGTGCCAAGCAAAACCTGAGGTTAGTTTCATGTGAGATGCTAGAAAAAGCTGAAACAATTAAAACTTCCCTTTAGGTCACTGGCCTTCAAATAGTGCTTAACTTTTATGCTGAACTATTTACACTATATATCAGATGTCTTTAATCTTTTAGTTTTATACATATGTAGTATGTCACACATTTAGTAGTACTTATGTCTAGATAAGCAATTATGAAAAATATATACTATGCAAAACATGACATTTATTTACAGTCACATTTAACAGCTTCATGGTGCAATTTTCCCTTTGGTAA